GTAACAATATAAGATTATTTATAATATTAAAAATATGGGGAGCAGGATATGAATTAGAAAATAACTATAAAACTAATATAAATCTAACAAATGCTTTATGGACAATTTACACTAAAAACAACCAAAAAAAAAGAACCCCAAAAACCCTCTTTAAACTTTTTAAATCAATAAACCAAACATTCCTAATAGCATTCAAGAGAATTTTAATGCAATATATGACAGAAATTAGTTATTAATGAAAAGTTTGAGGCTGGGCGTGGAGGTGCACACTTGTAATCCCAGCACCTGGAAGGCAAAGGCAGGAGGATCCTTGTGAGTTTGAGACCAGCCTGGGCTACAGAGTGAGCTTAAGGCCGGGCTGAACTATAAATGAGACCCTGACTCAAAAAGACAAAGGAAAAAAAGTGTGACTTTCCAAACAAGAAATTCTACAAGTTAAAAGAAAAGAAACAGGAAAAAAGTAAAATGTGTTATCCCCATACTTGGAAACTCCAAAGATTTTTCTAGAATTGCCTTTAATCTCTGAGAAAGCATCACACACACACACACACACATTTTCTCCAAGAATCAGTTGGCCTTGTTCAGAACCTCCAGGCTTCTCCCTCCACCACGCAGCGAGCAGCCCACCACTTCCCCTGCAGAGGGCGGGCATCTACTGTGGGCCTCCCACTTCCTAGAGTCTTCACGCTGAATGCACCAACTTCACTGCTCAAGTCTCAGGCTCAGTCTGTACAATAGTGACGCCCAACCCAAGCCACTGAAAGCACAACGGAAGAAGAGCACGTAACATCAGCGCACGACACCTGGCACACGGTCAATACAGGGCTACCTTTTAAAATTATTCTCTGAAACCAATTTAACTTTAACACTAAAGCAGGCTGAAATAACTACAGCCATATAAAGGACAGTACACACACTGAAAAGCGAAAAGGTTGTGTCTTCTAACCTTCCCTCTGCCACTCACTACCTGAAATCAGGTATGAAGCAACTCGTTGGAAATGAAGCAAATCTCCCCGGATCTAGGTTACTTCATCTACAAAACGAGACCATATAACCTACTCAGCAACGTTCGTTAAGTACCCACGTACTCTCATGAAAGTCTAGCACTACTCTATGTCTTTTCAAAAGAGATTAATTTTATTTATTTTTCTAATTAATTTCTCTAATTTTGCTTATGTGGTTATACCTTATAAGAATTTCTAAAAGAAAATCACACACACACACACACACAAAAGGAAAAGAAAATGGCACATACTTAAAACAGTTTTCTTCATAGATGACATTCCATATCTTCCATGCATCTGGTCCCTTGTACCCTGTGTAGCGCTCAGGATTAAGGAGCAAATCCACATATTCAGCATCAGGGGACTGTATGTCTGCAAAATAAAATGTTTTATCCAACCTTTTTACCTTTAATTATCTTAAAAGGCGCATATATAGACATGGTGGCACACATCTGTAATCCCATGTACTCAAGAGACCGAAGCAGGAGGACCATAAATTTGAGGCCAGCCAGGGCAATTCAGTGAGACGTTGTCTCAAAAGAAAAAGTGCAGGGCTGGGGATGTAGCTTGGTGGTGGAGCACTTGTGCAGCACGTGCATGTCCTGGGTTCAACCCCAGTACAGAAAAAAAGCATGCAACGCACGTGCATGTCCTGGGTTCAACCCC